CTGGTCCTGCTGTCACTGGAGGGGTTGGGGGTGGGGTGCGCAAGTGTGAGTGCATGTGTGTGCTCTGTGCACACAATGTGTGGGTGCATGCATGTGTGCGCATGTCTGCATGTGTGGGTGTGCACGCACACCTGTGTGCACATGTATGCATGCATGTGCTGTGCACACATGCCTGTGTGCATGAGTGTGTGTGCATGTATGTGTGCTGCACATATACACTTGTGTGCACGTGTGTGCATTTCTGTGCACGTGTGTATGCATGCCTGTGAGTGTGCATGTGTGTACTATGTATGCATGCCTGCATGTACACATGTGTGCCAGCAAGGGAGCTAGTGTGACTGATGGGGTTTCCCTAACTCCGTGTACTTGGTTGCGATTGCATGTGATTGTACATGTGACTGTGTAGTGCTGCGTGTGCAAGCGGCTTCCTGTGACTTGGTGTGTATGTGTGTGTGCACGCAATGCTGCCCCTGAAGCTTTCATGCTCTGCACGTTACCATGTGTGTGCATGTTGCTATGTGTGTGTGTGCACATGTGTGCTGTGTGTGAGCCTGGCCCTGGGGAATATGCCCTCTATGTGCACACACATCCTTGTGTGCACGTGTGTGATATGCTCATGTTGTCTTCTGTGCTTCTTACAGCGTGTGCGCTGCCATGTGGGCATGCATGTGTGGTGCATGTGTTGCAGTGTATGTACATGTGTGCACGTTGCTGTGTGTGCTGTTGTACGTGTTCCTGTGCATGCTCGTGGGTGTAATGCATGTGTTGCTGCGCCCTCTGTGCGTGTGCCTGTGAGTGTTGCAGCATGTGCATGTGCAGTATGTGCACATGCATGTGCGCTGTGGCTGCTGGGGCTGTGCCCGGCCCTGGCTCCCTCCCTGCCAGCTGTGGCACCATGCCCGCAGGCCCCACGCTCCGCTCTGGCAGGAGCCGTTGGTGCCAACCAGGGCTCTCCCCCCTCGCGCCTGCGGCCGTGCCCAGGCTCCTGCCACGCTTGACCGCACAACTGCAGCCTGGGCACAGGAACAATGGGAACTGGGGCATCGTGCCCACCCCACTACGCCTGCCCCCCATGCCCAGCCCCCTTTGCGGGGGCCTGGTGCCCACGGCTGTGGTGCAGCCAGCTCTGGGGAGGAACTGGCGGGGGGGGCAGAATGGGCCCCCAGGGTTGGGGGGGGCAGCTCTGGGCATTGGGGTGCAGCAGGGAGCCATGG